CATTTATATATAGAGTTATTTGTTATTTTTTGCCATGGCAAATTTTGATTGATTTTTCTAAGTGACTGATTTCAATTACAGACCAAACGAGCTGTGTAGCTAACCCATCGCACGCACACACCTATAGATATTTCTTCAACTGTAGCAATTATGGTAATAAATACGTTAACATCCTCAGTTGGATGTCCCGTTGTGCTGCACGTCGCATTCGCAATGACAAAAAGTCACGCGGTGTTAGCTTATCGCATCCCGACTCGATTCCCCCATCGATTGCCCTGGTCATCAGCCTTAGTCAAACTTGTTGCTTTCCCAAATCAACTGGGGATTTTCGGTTCACTGGACAAAATGCCAATAAAAATGTGAGAAAATCAAAAAAAAAAAAAGAACAAGACGAAGTGAAACGAATAAAAATGAAGAAGAAGAAGTAGATAGGTGACATCCACTAAACTGTCATTGACACTTACAAATTGAATTCTCATTGGCAGCCGGCAGGAGGATGGGGCTTTTCCTTTCCCACAATTATCGTAGCTGACAATGATAATGTTTGGTAGGCAGCGAACAGCGTTTTAAAGGGGGATCTTTGATAAATAATGCGGCATGTAAATAACAACAAATCAATTTTTAAATAGACAGCCAGCTAGACAGGACCTGAGCCCGAACCCAATGTCAAGCGGCGACAACAATGAACCCTATTCAAATGCCACTTACACAATCTGTAGAGGTGTCTGTATTTGTGTGTATGTGTGTGGGAGGGTGGGTAGTTGGGTGTGTAATTGGGAGTGTGAACTCGGTGTCGTAGACCTATTAGCTGTCAGTTAGCCAGGCCTTAAATTGAAGCTAACAGTTTGAGTCAGGTAACAAGATAGCAGATAACATGGCCAGAACTGTTGGCATCTCGTAATTGGCTTGCCTCTAGGATCCAATTGATTAATAGCGGTTAATGTTATGTTAATTTGTTGGCACTTTGCGTTTACAGCTGGACATTGAGTCTATAAATAAGTAGATAGAGATAGTGGCATAGGAAGAGCTTGAGATACATGCATAGAAACAGATAAAGACACAGATACAGATACAGATACAGATACAGATACAGATACAGATACAGATACAGATACAGATACAGATACAGGAAGTACATGCCTAGAAACAGATAAAGACCACATATACAGATACAGGCTTACAGATACAGATACAGATACAGATACAGATACAGATACAGATACAGATACAGATACAGATACAGATACAGTACAGATACAGATACAGATACAGATACAGATACAGATACAGATACAGATACAGATACAGATACAGATACAGATACAGATACAGATACAGATACAGATACAGATACAGATACAGCTACAGATACAGATACAGATACAGATACAGATACAGATACAGATACAGATACAGATACAGATACAGATACAGATACAGATACAGATACAGATTACAGATACAGATACAGATACAGATACAGATACAGATACAGATTACAGATACAGATTACAGATACAGCTTACAGATACAGATACAGATACAGATACAGATACAGATTACAGATACAGCTACGATAGATACAGATACAGATACAGATTACAGATACAGATACAGATACAGATACAGATACAATATCAGATAACAGATACAGATACAGATACAGATACAGATACAGATTACAGATACAGATACAGATACAGATACAGATACAGATACAGATACAGATACAGATACAGATACAGATACAGATACAGATACAGATACAGATACAGATACAGATACAGATACAGATACAGATACAGATACGATACAGATACAGATACAGATACAGATACAGATACGATACAGATACAGATACAGATACAGATACAGATACAGATACAGATACAGATACAGATACAGATACAGATACAGATACAGATACAGATACAGATACAGATACAGATACAGATACAGATACAGATACAGATACAGATACAGATACAGATACAGATACAGATACAGATACAGATACAGATACAGATACAGATACAGATACAGATACAGATACAGATACAGATACAGATACAGATACAGATACAGATACAGATACAGATACAGATACAGATACAAGATACAGATACAGATACAGATACAGATACAGATACAGATACAGATACAGATACAGATACAGATACAGATACAGATACAAGATACAGATACAGATACAGATACAGATACAGATACAGATACAGATACAGATACAGATACAACAGATACAGATACAGATACAGATACAGATACAGATACAGATACAGATACAGATACAGATACAGATACAGATACAGATACAGATAACAGATACAGATACAGATACAGATACGATACGATACAGATACAGATACAGATACAGATCAGATACAGATACAGATAACAGATACAGATACAGATACAGATACAGATACAGATACAGATACAGATACAGATACAGATACAGATACAGATACAGAATACAGATACAGATACAGATACAGATACAGATACAGATACAGATACAGATTACAGATACAGATACAGATACAGATACAGATACAGATACAGATACAGATACAAGATACAGATACAGATACAGATACAGATACAGAGTACAGATACAGATACAGATACAGATACAGATACAGATACAGATACAGATACAGATACAGATACAGATACAGATACAGATACAGATACAGATACAGATACAGATACAGATACAGATACAGATACAGATACAGATACAGATACAGATACAGATACAGATACAGATACAGATACAGATACAGATACAGATACAGATACAGATACAGATACAGATACAGATACAGATACAGATACAGATACAGATACAGATACAGATACAGATACAGATACAGATACAGATACAGATACAGATACAGATACAGATACAGATACAGATACAGATACAGATACAGATACAGATACAGATACAGATACAGATACAGATACAGATACAGATACAGATACAGATACAGATACAGATACAGATACAGATACAGATACAGATACAGATACAGATACAGATACAGATACAGATACAGATACAGATACAGATACAGATACAGATACAGATACAGATACAGATACAGATACAGATACAGATACAGATACAGATACAGATACAGATACAGATACAGATACAGATACAGATACAGAATACAGATACAGATACAGATACAGATACAGATACAGATACAGATACAGATACAGATACAGATACAGATACAGATAACAGATACAGATACAGATACAGATACAGATACAGATACAAGATACAGATACAGATACAGATACGATACAGATACAGATACAGATACAGATACAGATACAGATACAGATACAAGATACAGATACAGATACAGATACAGATACAGATACAGATACAGATACAGATACAGATACAGATACAGATACAGATACAGATACAGATACAGATACAGATACAGATACAGATACAGATACAGATTACAGATACAGAATACAGATACAGATACAGATACAGATACAGATACAGATACAGATACAGATACAGATACAAGATACAGATACAGATACAGATACAGATACAGATACAGATACAGATACAGATACAGATACAGATACAGATACAGATACAGATACAGATACAGATACAGATACAGATACAGATACAGATACAGATACAGATACAGATACAGATACAGATACAGATACAGATACAGATACAGATACAGATACAGATACAGATACAGATACAGATACAGATACAGATACAGATACAGATACAGATACAGATACAGATACAGATACAGATACAGATACAGATACAGATACAGATACAGATACAGATACAGATACAGATACAGATACAGATACAGATACAGATACAGATACAGATACAGATACAGATACAGATACAGATACAGATACAGATACAGATACAGATACAGATACAGATACAGATACAGATACAGATACAGATACAGATACAGATACAGATACAGATACAGATACAGATACAGATACAGATACAGATACAGATACAGATACAGATACAGATACAGATACAGATACAGATACAGATACAGATACAGATACAGATACAGATACAGATACAGATACAGATACAGATACAGATACAGATACAGATACAGATACAGATACAGATACAGATACAGATACAGATACAGATACAGATACAGATACAGATACAGATACAGATACAGATACAGATACAGATACAGATACAGATACAGATACAGATACAGATACAGATACAGATACAGATAACAGATACAGATACAGATACAGATACAGATACAGATACAGATACAGATACAGATACAGATACAGATACAGATACAGATACAGATACAGATACAGATACAGATACAGATACAGATACAGATACAGATACAGATACAGATACAGATACAGAATACAGATACAGATACAGATACAGATACAGATACAGATACAGATACAGATACAGATACAGATACAGATACAGATACGATACAGATACAGATACAGATACAGATACAGATACAGATACAGATACAGATACAGATACAGATACAGATACAGATACAGATACAGATACAGATACAGATACAGATACAGATACGATACAGATACAGATACAGATACAGATACAGATACAGATACAGATACAGATACAGATACAGATACAATACAGATACAGATACAGATACAGATACAGATACAGATACAGATACAGATACAGATAATACAGATACAGATACAGATACAGATACAGATACAGATACAGATACAGATACAGATACAGATACAGATACAGATACAGATACAGATACAGATACAGATACAGATACAGATTTTCAATATACTTATCTCTCTGTCCACATTTATCCCAACATTTATATCTCTTATAAGATATATATTGAGAACATCTTTGTCATTTTTCAAATGTCATTAAATTCCTTGAAAATCAAAGTTTAAATAATCAGAATAAATTAAGCAATACAAACTTATAACTGTCAAAAGGTTCTAGCCAAAGCCAAAGCAAGCTCCAAAATTGTAGCTAAGGCATATATATTTTGTATAAGAAGTGAATGCAGTTATCAAATGGAGACGTTGTCCGTCTCCATTGTTGGGCTATTGCAGCTGCTGGGCTACTCGTACTTTATGACTCAGCCGGAGGATCAATGCTCGCCAGCTCCGTCCATGGGTAGCTGGCTCTTTCTGGTGGCCACACTCTGCTTTCTGTGGGACATGGGCATATACCCGCGTCGCTTCATGCACATGGCCTGGCATTGGCAGTTGTTCATCGAGATTGTGGCGGGCTTATTTCTGGCCGAGATAGCGATGCTGCTTATTTGGTGCGGCCTCGAGCGGGTTATCTATTCGCTAACGCAGAAGTTTATTCATGCTTTGCATTTGGACGATTGCCTGCACAGTCTGCACGAGTACTGTCTGCATGGGCTAACCACCGTCGCAGTAAGTGGTGCACTTGTGTGGTTCATAATGAGAGCAACCGATATCCCCTATTATCTGGACTGCTCCATGGGCAAGCTGAAACGCAAAGGACATCACGTGATGCGTATCCTTGGCTGCATTGGCCGAATGAACAGCTGCGATAGACAACGCACGCTGAGAGCCTGCAGGCAGGCCATGTTTTCCAGATGTGATGAAGCTACCAGTTCAGAGGAGGAGGAAGATGGCGCAGGTGATGGGGTTGAGTATGAGCAGGGCGGTGCGGGTGGGGATGGGGATGGAGATGTGGATGAAGATGAAGATGGGGATGTGGGTGAAGATGAGGATGAGGATGAGATTGGAGATACGGATACAGAGTAACCATTTACCCTGGCTGCGTGTTCAATTCAGGCACTAAACAAATCATGTCCTCGCATTGGCTTGCCCTCGTTGCGATCCATCTATCTGGAATTTATATTGCGATTGCTGCATATCTCGACACGATTTTTGTGCCGCACGCAACGGAAATTTACTTTTCTTCACTGTCGCACCACCCACCACTTTTTTCGGCTATCTGTAACAATAAATTTTGTTGCACGAACGGACAGAGAGCGGAAAATAAAGAGAATTTGCGTTTGCTGACTGTGAGGCTCGTCGACTTTTGTCTGCTTGTCAAAGAGCCTAAATGGCTAGGTTGGCCTTCAACTGTTGAATGCGAACCCAAACCTAAATGTAAGCTAATCACTGAGCTATTTAACTGTTGAATGCCATCCATTTCTGGAGTGGGAATACATTAATAAAATGGTAGAAAACTCGTTGAAGCTGTGGCAAGTCGTAGACAAGAATCTCTCGTCGATAGCTGGTATAGTTGGCTGACAGTTGCTATGGAGTTGTAATTGCTTAATATGTTCAAGAATTGTAGGTGCTAATGATCTAAGCTGTAATGCGTCGCAAACTTTAGCGCCTTACAGATCGTGGCCATTGTTGACCGAAAGTTACTAAATTAATCATATTTAAATTAAGATATTCGCTCGATCGCTTGATCTTGCAATATAAATTCAATTTTGCGCAGCTTGACTTAGATTTGTTTCTCTATCTGTAGCTGTCTTTGTATCTGTATCTGTATCTACTGTTCGCACAGTTGTCCAAAATATCTGTTTGCTAGAAGCTTCATGATTCAGCAACTATCAGCCACAAGGCTCCTTTTATTTATTATTATTATTTAAAAACTTTTGTATCTAACTTCAATGTGCTTTGGGAACCCTTTTTCTTCGCACATTAAATTTGAAAAGGTCTTATTTTGTATTATTATATTTAGTGAGATTGCACAGGAATATATACATATTATATGTGTTCAAAATGTTTTCTTAAGAGTTTAGTTTATACTAAATAGTCTTTCACATGTAAACAGTTCTCAATCTACCAGCAAAAAGAGAAAAGAGAGAACTGAGGCTGGTATACAATGATGTAAATTATGCAAGGACTTTCAAGTCAAACAGAAATTAGACCATTATTGATAAGAACATGAGACAACAATAGCAGACATAGTGTGGGAAATTAAGAATTTACTGCAATCGTTGTAGACTGTAAAATATGAAATTATGAAATTAATTTAAAGTAGAGGCTCAGTGAATAAAGTCGAAAGTGAGACGACTTACCAAATATTAAATTCAAGATTTACCTTTGAATTATAGCTAGTAAGCATCAAGTTGTGTCGAGCTAGCTCTCAAAGCAGTGCATTTCTTAAAAACCAAATCTAACAGTATCAAGTCCTATGGCAATCTGACTATAAGATTTGATAATGCAAAGATTATCCAAACTAAACTCGAATGAATTGTGCTCTTCACTTTTGCATTCTTGCCCTTTACCTATTTTTCGCCCTCAACTTATCATTTTCTAAATACTTTGCTTTGTAAATCTAATTTTTTGTAGGCACTTTGCCTTTTCGGTTCAGTTTGTCTCAGAGATAGTAATTTAGTTGGACAGGCTGTCTGTCATGACGTTTGCCAGCCAGTTTGGGAGCTAACTGAAAGCCAGCAGCAGCTGGCGTTGTTTTTATTGCTATTGTGGTTTGTTTTTGCCACTGTAACTTTCAATCATCGTCAATCATCGTTAGATGGGCAAAACAGCCACAAAAAAATGCGAATGAAAACAATCGCAAAACAAGTATAAACAAAAAAAAAAAAGAACAGAATCATTCACAGATTGTATTGCATTTCTAAGCAGGCCAGGGACACAAACAGGTCACAGCTGCTAACTTTGATTACTCGACTGGCGAAAAAAAAACACATTTGATTGGCTTAGCCAGGAATGGATGATTGTGTAAGGATTTATTAAGTAAAATATAATATAACAAATATAAGTAACACATATGTAACGAGCGTTGTTGTGCAGGGCTATTATTGATACGACGTAACTTAGCAAACACTTTTGATTGGCATTCAGATATTTTTGCCAAGAATAAATATCTATAGATAGAAAAACCTGTTCCCAAAAATAACAGAAATCCCGTTTGTGACATTTAAAATTGTTAAGAAAGCCTTAAAAAAGATTTGGAAATTTCTATTTATTTTATTTTGTATTTTTTTTTAGATATTGTCTAGCCAAGGCTCATTTGTTAACCGAATTTCTGCTTATTCTCGGCCAAGAAATACTGAGCGACCGAGGTTAGAGATATTTTGGTAAACATATGCGAATGGGGCTCAAAGTGAATTATGCTATATAATTTGTCGGCAGGCAGGTGCTGCTCATTAATCTTGTGCTTGCTTTAGAGCTGCCTCTCTCGGCGCTTCTCATTCCTCGCTTAGTTTAGCACACTCTGGGGGCACACACACACACAAGCACAGGCACTCGCTTATGCACAAGCATTTTACGTAGATAAGCTTCTCACTTTTCGTTTCAGCTTGTTTTTTTCTTCTCCTACCTGCCTGGCGGTTTTATGCCTAATGGATTTGCGCTTTGATGTGCAAACGGTTTAGACCGTATTACGCCTACGTGTGCGTGTGTATGTGTGGGGCTGAGTGACGTTGCGTTTGTGTGCGTGTGTATTTAAGTGTCGACATTAGAGACCATCACTTGCAGTCCTCGCTCCTACTTTCTCTCTACCTCGCTCTCTCTCGCTTATTTCTAGATATGCGGCGCACATAAATTTGTTTTGGAATGGCCATATGAGGGCTATGTGGCCATAATTTTAGGCCTCAGCTGATACGTTGTTAATAGCCAAATGGTGGCTGCTGCGTTTGCTTTTAAAATTAACAAGAAATAGGGGCAATCGGCATGCAAACGATTAGATACCCTTTAAATGCATAAATTAAATGGTTGATTTAGCTTCAATTTCGAATTCTGTGTTTCGAGCTCAATATTTAGCTCTTACTTCAAAAGAAATTCTTAGAAAAATGCTTATTTATATTTTTATTTTTTTTTTAATTCGTCTTGAAAATGAAATATAATTTAATTCCAACTCCAAATTTCTAATTCCACATGTTACACGATTTATAATACCTTAACTTTATAAATTTAAGAAAAATTCTTGGCTATTAACTTTATCTTTAAACTAAGCAATATACTTACATTAACATTATGTTTATCACGAGCTTTCAAGTTAAGCTTGGTTGTAAATTTATCTTTAAGATAATACTTACCATTATGCTTATATTAACTTGATAAAAACTTTAGAATTGTTTTTACCATTAGCTGTACCATGGAGTTTAATATTCAGTTAAGCATTAACTTTACCATTGAGTTTACCATGAATTATGACATCATCATATGAACTCTACCTTTATCATGAAATTTGACATTGACCTTAGCACTAAACGTGTACACGAGATTACCATTAACTTTGCTTTGACATTGAGCTTTACCACTAACCGTGTACAGTGAATTTACCATTAATTAATCATCATTAATCATCATATCAGTCCTACCTTTAACATAAAATTTGAGCCTACCAATTTGAATTACCAATTTTGAATTTATCACTAACAAAACTTTCCATTAAAAATCATTTTCCTTTAACCATTCAATTACCCTTAAACTTCTTATTAAATTCACCAATATATTTACAATTAACTTTATTATTAATTATATCTTTTTGATGTACCAACATAAAATTAACTTGATGATAAGCTTTTTGTTGACAGTAAAGTTAATGGCAAGCTTAATGATAAAGTGAATTGTAAGTTTAAAATTAATACTTACAATAAACTTAAATGTTATTTAGCCATTAACCTTATCATCAATTAAGCCATTATTCGTAAAAGACTATCATTAATTATACCATTTAATTTATATATTGAATGCAATCGTGCAGCTTTACCCATGCCTAAACACGACATAAAAATTTATCCAAACTTTTACTTTAGCTCTTGTTTTCAGCCAATCAAATCTATACGAATATCCATCAAAAAGGCAAACACATTAAGAAAGGGTATTGAAACGTTGTTGTTTAGCCTTTACCTTTGTGTGCGCTGGAAAAAAGAAAAACATGTATGGCATTACTTTATTCCCTTGCATAAAAATTACCATATGTATGGTTGTACGTGGGTGGACCGCTGATGAAATTTCGTTGTCATCCTTGACTGTGTATGTATATTCAAAGAAATTGAATTTTTTATTTTTAAAATTGGAAATTTTTTGTTGCACATACACCACAAATTTTTTGTTTTTTTTTTTTTTTTTTGTTTTTTTTCGTAATTTGTTTAAATGTAAATTGTGTTACTGTTAACATTTAAAAATTTGCTCAAATTGTTGGGCTCTTTTGTAAACAATTTTTATATACATATATAGTTGTATATATATATGTATTTGTATTTTATTACAATTTGGCATTTTGTTTTATGGAAATACAGCTTCTTCTTATCCTTGTGCAATCAATTAATGCAAATTGTTGTGTTTAAATAGTCGATTTTTTAGATATTTTACAAACAGTTTTTAATTCAAATTTAGTTAAATATTCACCTGGAATGGGCAGGTGGTAGTTTTTTTGTAAATATTAGTAATTATAGAAATTGTTCAACTGTATTCCCGCTGGCCATAAAACGCATAGTTTGCCCTTGTTTTTAGTTTTAATCAAATTAAATTTTTGCTATGCAACAACATAATTAATGGTTTTTTTTTTTAATTTTTTTCTCATTAGTTTAGTTACAATATACATTAACAAAATTTAATGAAATCTGTTCAATTATATTTTTTTAAATATTATTTTTCATATCATTTCTGTAACAAACGAACTTTGCGGAGCTTTGTTTAAATTCACTTAAATTAGCAAATAGTTTTGGGTTACATAGAACAAACTATCACTGCGGCTGTTGAGAAGGCTTGAAACAATATATTGAAACATCAGTATAAACTATTTTAACCACTCATTAATTAATAAAAACAATTATTATTATTCATATTATAATTTGATTTTGTTTTCATAAATTTCTTTTTGTTCTTAAAATGGATTTCATTGAATGTTGTCGTAGGTAAGAATTAAAATGTACTTTCTTTACTTTAAACGAGTTGCTTGAGCCTTTCTACTCATTTATTTACTTAGCTACTTACTATATTTCCTATGATGCATCATTTGAATTCAGCTTACATTTATCTAGAATTCCCTCTTTACTATTTGCTATTTTTGTTTTTGGTTTTTTTTTGTTTTAGGTGTTTCATTTTCTCTCCAATATAAATAAGTTTGCAAATTCATCAACTTTCGTTTTATTTTCAATTTCGCATCAAAAAACTATAAGTATTGGACCAAAAATTACGTTTGAACCTCAGATAAGTTTTAATGGACATGCGATATATAAGTTCTGCTCTTGTCTCGATACCTTGCCCTAAAAACTAAAAGAATATTTACAAAAACTTTCTTTTCTTTTTCTTTCGACACTTTCGATTTTACATTTAGATAAACCACATAAATTGAGTTAAATGTTAAATGGTCAAAAACTATTGACCAAAGATATATGTTTTTCTGTTATATATATATAATATATACATCTATATGTTTGTATAGGATCTGCAGCCATGTCTTTGTCTGTGCAAACACAAAGAAATGCGAATAAGAAGTCGAATGAAATTAAGTTTGGCGCCATTATACTTTTAGCCATGGTCGCCATTGTGTCGACATTATTGTTTATACCCTGCAAAGACTTATGGAAGTGAAGGAGAGTCTATGTGAATGCTACTAACTTATATTTAGAGAAAGCAGTGCAACCAAAGATAATGACAATGACAATGACAATGACAATGACAATGACAATGACAATGACAATGACAATGACAATGACAATGACAATGACAATGACAATGACAATGACAATGACAATGACAATGACAATGACAATGACAATGACAATGACAATGACAATGACAATGACAATGACAATGACAATGACAATGACAATGACAATGACAATGACAATGACAATGACAATGACAATGACAATGACAATGACAATGACAATGACAATGACAATGACAATGACAATGACAATGACAATGACAATGACAATGACAATGACAATGACAATGACAATGACAATGACAATGACAATGACAATGACAATGACAATGACAATGACAATGACAATGACAATGACAATGACAATGACAATGACAATGACAATGACAATGACAATGACAATGACAATGACAATGACAATGACAATGACAATGACAATGACAATGACAATGACAATGACAATGACAATGACAATGACAATGACAATGACAATGACAATGACAATGACAATGACAATGACAATGACAATGACAATGACAATGACAATGACAATGACAATGACAATGACAATGACAATAGTATAAATATGGAAATAAAAATTAATATAATATTAATAAATACTAATTAAATAAAGTATCATCATATATGCCCTATATAGCAAGTTTCTAGGATATCATCATGTTAATCACATTTTTTTCTAGTGCAATCTTAGCCACTATTACTTCTTAGTTCATTGAAATGCTCAGACAAACATGACACTTTTAGTTTGAACTTCACAGATGTGGAGAAGAATAAATAATTGAAATAGATGAAGATTACTCGGGTGTTAAAATTTATAGTTGCATGTTTACGGTCAGCCAAGATTTATATAATAAACACCTTGGCGTGTCAGACACAGAGAGACTCACTGGAGAGCAACTTAAGCAATAGAGCGGAAGCCGAATAGCAATAACAACTCACACTGCTTGACCTATACAAGTCTCCGCTGATTTCCCCCAAGCCCGCCGCGCACATGCAGACATGTAAGTGGACACGTTTATATGGATGATATGTTTGCCTTTGTGCACTGTCTGACTTTGTGTTTGTCTTGGCATGAAAATAGCCAGTCGGGTCCAGTTCAGACGAAACGCCTCGCCGCAGCCCCCTTATGCCGGATGCAGGGATACATATATCTCTGTCAATGACAGTTGTCAACATGACAGTTATAGGGACAACACGAATGTAACGGAAGTTCGCCTCCATGCTCGAGACATGCTTAGCTCTGGAACACGTCTGAGGCGTGTCTTAAGAAAAACTTTGATTTACAACAAAATGATGTCGGGAAGCAAGAAGCATTTGTCATTATGAATACTCTGCAAATTGCTGGCAAGATATATTGTTGATTATTAAAAATAAACAGCAAAAGTTCTTGGAATTTGTTGATATCATATCGAAGAAACTTGAATAGCCTTAGTAGAGATATTAAGTCAAAGTGCTTATGTAATATAGTAAATAAATAAATAAATATAAAAATGAATAAATAAATAAATAATTAAATAATTAAATAAATAAATAAATAATTAAATAAATAAATAAATAAATAAATAAATAAATAAATAATTAAATAAATAAATAAATAAATAAATAAATAATTAAATAAATAAATATTTCAAATGTTTTTCTCTAAGATATAAGAAATAAGAGCAATAGGAAGATATATTGCCATAAAAAAGGATTTTAGATATAATGGAGCTCATGGTGTTCTTATGAAGCTACACCCATGTTTTATGTACGATATAATGCATCATTTGAATGATCCCTACGGCTTAATAAATATATATTAATAAATATTAATATATGTTAATTTTCTTTATTATTTCTACATATTCTGCAGGCGTAGGACGATTTATAATCAACAGGAAAATCTAATTTAATACTTCAACCACTAAATGTGATCGATAATTTAATCAGCTGCTGAAATATAGTTATCGGAAATAGTATTTCTCTTATGTGTTTTCATATTTTAAACAAAATATTTTAAGAATTAAGTTAAATTCAAAAACACTGAAAAGACAAATAAAATGTTTAATAAAAAACAAAAATGCTAAACTGGTTCAGCTATTCAGATATTCAGCGTAACCAAATATACCATTATTTTACAGAGTATAATCGAAATAAAATAAATACCAAAGTTGTTCAGCTATTGATCTATTCCGCGTAAACAAATATACCATTATTTTACAGGGTATAACCTAATGACGTGGCATACATTGCTTGCTGTCAACTGTCGGCATGACCGTGGCAAACTCAGATACAAAACATATATATGCACATACCTACTAGCATGGAAACTCCCATTTGATGGCCGGCAATCAATGCTTGGGACCTATGTAAATGCCACCAGAGCTGTCGCCGCTTTCCTCAGCTGTGGCGCTCTCCTCCTCCGGTTCAACTGGCCGATTGCCACAGGAGCCGCCATTGTTGTTGCTGGTCTCATACGTATCACTGTCGTCCACTAGACAGCATTCGGCGCAATCATCCGTCGAGGAGTTGATCTCATCGCTGAGATCGTCCAACAGCGTGACCTTGGGTGCCATGCTCTGGACATGCTCGTCGGCACACGTTGTGGCCGCAGCGCCTGCCACAGAGATTTTGATATTGCAATTGTTCGACGTGGACGACGACTCCAAGTGCTGATAATGCTGCGGCATGGGCTGCTGTAGGGGCGCATGCGTATGTATATGTGTGGCCCGATAGCTGAGATTCGGTGTGCGCTGACCCATGCTGGCTATGCCTGGTGGCATTTGAGTGTGCGTCATGCTGATGGTGGGCGGCACACTCAGCACAGTGCCCACTTTGGGGCTTTGGCTGTGGCCGCCGTAGAGCTGTTGCGTATCAGAGGCCAAATTGTGGGCGGTCAGCTGTAGAGGATGCTGATCCTTGCGCTCTGCAACAAAAAAAAGAAAATGGGGTAAAGCCAGCATGAGGCAAGCAGTCAGTGTCGGAGACGGAAACGGAAGCGTAAGCGCATGTCAGCGCATTGTGCTATCAACCGGGCACATTGTGTGCTCACTTTATGCCAATATTGAACCGAAACTGTTATCAGTGCAAACTTTTGCACAGCACACAATGCAGTTGCAGCTGCAGCTGCAGCTGCCAGTGGCAGCGGTGGTGGCAGCTGTTGCCACACGCTTGACACGTGCAAACAATGGCATTCATAGCAAGGTCAACAATGTGGACCGGCAGCTAACACAATTATCTATCAGAAAGTTATGCGGCCTTTAGTCTAATGATTAACTCACCCAGTGGCGCGCCAAGTTTCGGCTGTAGCGGCAGCATAAATTCGTGTCCAGTTGTTGCTGCCCTCGGCTGCAGGCTCTGCACGGCTGGCACGCTTAAGTAGTCCGCTAAAATGCCAAAAGCAGTATAATGTTGTTAACGTACGTCCAGCCCAAATGCAAACAATGTTAACTAAAAGTTCAAGTTTAACCAACAAAAAAATCAAATACAAATAAAGAAGAGAAATCGCAAACAATCACAAATCCTTCGTGGCCATGCGGAAACTTTAAAAAGGCACGCAGCAAATTTCTCAACTTTTTTCAGTACTTTTTCTTGTAAAATATTTGAATAAAAGTTTCAGCAAAAAAAAGTTTTTTTTTAGAGAAATCTTAAAAGTTATAAAATCAAGTTTTATTTTCTCTCATTTTTTTGGTATACATAAAAAGTAAAAAGAAAGTTTGAGCTAGTGAAAATGTGCATAATTTCTGGCGATAAGTGCTCAAAGCTCAAATTTGTACCTAAATGTTTTTTGTTAAAGACTTACAAAAGTTTCTATATATATACAATAAAGATTTACTAAATAAACAACTAAATTTTAAATGTTCATTTCAATTTAGTAAAATAATTAAATACAATATTTAAACATTCACATTTTGTTTAATGCTTACACATGCCAACAAAATTTGCGACTCTGATATATCTATGTTTTTAGACATGCAACAAACAAAGCTTATACATTAATTCAAATTTGTATGATATTTAAGCTACTATATTGCAACATTTTCAGCTACATTTACATTTTTATATGTCCAACTATCGGAACCATTCCATATCGTATTTATTTATTTGTTTATTAGATATTTCATAATTAGCTGTCCTACAATTCCTAGCTCCCCCATCTCACTTATACACACACTCTCTCACTCTTCCTCTGTCTCTCTCTCTCTTTTGAAAATTCTCAAAATTAAAGTCTGGTTCTTGGTAGTATTTCATATTTCATATTTTTAATTTTAATTAATTTTTATTTCATATTTATTTATTTATTTTATATTCATTTTTTTAATAAATTATTTTTATTAATTAATTAATTTAAATTAATTTGTTTTTATTTTTACATTATTTTATTTAAATAATTTTTAATCTCTTTTATTTATTTATTTACTTATATTACTTATCTATTTATTTATTTATTTCTTTGGTTACTTGTTTAATTATCTATCTATGCATTTATATTTTGTATTTTATTTTGTATATTTAAACATAAAGATCTTTAAAACATATATTTTTAGCACCTTTTTTCTTAAATTTTTTCAATTTTTGATTTTATATTTACATTGTATTTAAAAAAAATTAAGTTTGTATTCTCACCCAATTTACAGAATATTTTACTTATATGCTTATTATATTTGCTATTTACTTTATGTATATTTTTTTATGTCTATATATTTGAATTATATTATATTTTATTCAGATAACTTTTTCACCCACTCAAACAGAATTGTATATGTATTTCCGCATAGCGTGTTTTGTTTCCTGCTTTTGCCATAACATTTAAATACGTGCCCATTATATATCCCATTACCGACAAATTTTTCTTTTCAATTTTGCGCAGTTTTCCCATTTTCTGACGCCGGCTCTTAGCGGCTTTTCGCTAGCCATTAAAAATGCAAACGTTGGAAAACATGCGCCCAGCTAGCGCGCGCCAAGCTCGTCCAACGAGAAGTGTGTGAAAATATTTTTACTTTTGCACTTCTCTCGCATTTTTATCTAGTGAACGCAACAATTTTAAGACGTACAAAAAGCGATCAATGAGCCGACTACTTAATATGCTATAAAATTATATAAAATAAAAAGAATAAATTTTCTCAGTTTTCGATAAATAAAACTCAGTTTAGGAAAACCCTGTCTATCATATTCGATGACTTTATATAAGGACTATGGCCGTTGTTAGGGTATACAAATTAATTTACGCTACAGCTGCCAGGCAACACGCACCAAATGGAGCAGCCGACACGCCCAACAGATGGGCGTCAAAATAAATAGGGGCATGAAATGCAGGCAGCAACCGCCCCATCCATTCGCTTCGTCACTTTGCTCCGAGGTGTTTTCAATGTTGGCTGACGCAATTGCATTTAATTTTCAGGCCTGCACCACTGTGCGCACCACTGTGCACATAAATTGCTGCAACGTCCAACCATTTTAATGACCACTAGAAGTCAACACTGTGAAAAACCTTGCCACACTTTCACGCCCACCAACTGTGCCTGCTAATGATTTACTTGCTATTTTTATGCTCTTTGTAGCATGTAGCAGGGCGAAAGGGGTCAGGGTTCGCCGGCGACTGCGTCTAAGTCTGGCAGTCACCTAACTGAATGCCTAAGAATTGGGCTGAAAGAAACTTGTGCCAAATACTTTTGACTGCAACACGTACTACGACAAAGTCCAAAGAGAAATCCAATTTTTTACAGCATTCGCAACACGACTTAATACTTGGCCAGGAAGTGCGAAAAGAGCAAAGCAAGTGGGCGTGGCTTTTGAGTTTGAAGTTGTTTAAATATTGTAATTAAATTACGCTTAAGCTTTAGTTGAATTAACGAATAGATTTTTATCAGATTTGATGGCCACGGGTGGGTAAATTATTTAGGCACGTCTACAAAATATATATATTTATCGTACTGATTTCTGATGATATTTGATATATCCAAAAGATTTTAGCTTATGATATATTATGATATATTAAGAATAAATATTGTATTAATTATAGTAATAATGTTAATAAAAATTTTAATAATGGTACTTATAAGTTCCGACTACAAATTTCTCGTTCACGATCCAAAAACCGTTGAATCATTGGAGCCTGGGTCACTGCAATAACTCAACTGGCAAATTTTGAGCTTTAACTTCAAAACTTTTCGCTTCGGGCAATCAACAACTGTGATTTAGTTGTTAATTTTAAAAATCCTTTAAAAAAAATTCCAAAAAAAAAAAATTACATGCAATGTAATAAAAAAGTCAACCGTAAATGAGCTGTTAAGTCCGTGGAATAATAATAATAATAATAATAAACAATTTAATAATAATAAACAAATTAAATAATATAAAAATAATATACAGATTTTCAAAGTTTCTTGGCTTAAGCTTTGATTGTTTGTCATTCAATTTCAATTTATATTAAAATAATAAAAACACAAATGCCGCATTTTAAACGAAATATATTAACGAAGATATTTTCATTTTACTGGTCTTATCAGCATAACAACTGTCTTTAGAGCGTATCGATAATTTCGGTACAGCCAAAATATGTGTTCAGGGTAATTGCCATTTAAATTGCTAAAAACAGAGAAAGAGAAAATGAATATATTACAAATTAAATAATGAAAAGATTTTCTTAATAATGAGTTGGGTACCAGTAGGTGCATTGATTGTGCCACCAGCCATTGTAAGTGCTGCCGCAGTTCTTTCGGATTTTGTCATTGTCGTTGTCATAGGTTGAAAACTTCATTCCCTTGTTGTAGCTTAGGGCATCCCCGACATTGCCATCAAATGTGCCCAACTCCTTTAACTCATATCCCTTGCTTTCGCCGCCTACGACAAAATTATTGTATCTGGCTTTAAGACTCCAATTGTTTTCATCTGTGAGTAGAATTAAGAGCTTATGCTGCCGTCGCATTGTCAGTTGATGCAACATATTGAGGCCAATAAAGAACTCGCCATTGAGATCGCCAAAGCCCTCTCTGTACTCCGTCCAGCTACGATTGAAATTGACACTACCATCCGAGCGCCGCTGCACAATCATATAAAGCTCATTATCAACATTCATGCAAGCAACCAATTTGGGTTCCATGTCTCCAACTCTTATCAATTGTGTGTTCTCGTGGATGCCAACATAACTCGCACACTGGCTGGGCAGATATCTCAAATGTTCTTCACATTTGTTTAAACTATATTTACTGGCTATGAGTGTTTGCTCCTGCTCTTTCGCTAGGCGTTCCCATTCTCTCGTGTTTTCTGCTTCTGTTTCGCATGCCGGAATTACCAATGCTGCAGCATCGTCTTTATCGTTGCAGCTTAGCAGATCATTTAACTGACTCTCCAGCCTCTTTAATTGCTCAACATTCTTCTCAATCTGCTGCTCAGAATCTTTTATCGCTATTACCAACTGCTCAGCATCCATTGAATGTAAGTTACTATTAATTTGATCCATGATAGTTCGATCATCAGATTCCGCCAGATGCAGAACAAATGCCACAATTATGATTAGCTTCAAGTATGCCAACATTGTTCAAGCTGTTCCGATCAACGCTTTCAAGCAACTGAATGCAAAAAATCGTAAGTAATGCTTAAAGTACCCAGAATGTCGAGGTCTCACAAAGTTATTTTTAATGTATATAATATTCACTGATAATAATGTCCACACATTTATATATTTGCACTTGATTTACTTGCAGATTAAGCTTAAACAAAATTAGAAAGCAATAACTATAGAATCGTATTTATTTCTTTTAACAAGTTATCGATCTTAATGTTATCGATAACCGAAAGTGACTATGTAATATGTAAAATGTTAATAATGTATTCATTTACAAATTATATTATTAATTTCTTTTTATAAATCGATAAATATCGAATAAAAATATTCAAAAATTTCGCAATAATCGTTTCAAGCTATCGACAATTCCAAATGTAATTATATATTTGATATTGAGCTTAAGATTTAACTTTCAGCGAGTTTAAATAAAAATTTAATCTTTTTATAATACCATGGTTACTTTTGTTTGTTTTATCAGATATCGATAAGTATCGAATATATAACAATCGTTTTTGTAAATGTTGCTTGCTTATATCACGTATAAATTACATATATTATTCTATATTATATCTGAGTATATTTAATATTTGTTTTGCTACAGAATTTTCAATTGATTTTCAGTTAATCAATGAATATCGATTCCTTAATGAAAGGTTTTCACTGGCTATAAATCTAAGCTACAATATGGCATGATTATAATACATAGATAATTAATATTAAATATTCTGCACTTTAGTCAAGGTTTTCCACAATAATTGAAAATACTAAGGTATTCCCTATTCGGTACAAAAAAAAAAAAACAAAAAGATTTGGGAAAAATAAAACAATATATTTATATATATATGTATACATAAATAATTTTATATATTTATAAATATTATAAGAAATTCTTTTATTGCGATAAGAAAACTTTGAAAAAGCTATGCACCGAGATCAAATCGCTTTACATAATGACTATATGCAACAAAATACACTAGCGGCGATAAGAACTGACCTTTGACCTTTAGGTGCAAGTGTGGCCCATATAAAATAAAGTTCATGCTATAAATAGTACTTGCCGTCAGACAGTGCATAATTTGATTAACGCCCAGCAGTAAACTGAGGAGTAGGAGGAAGCGGCGAAGCGGGTGTTTTTTTACCCCTTTTTCAACTCGTCAAGTTAATCAGAGACAGCGTGAAATGGCCCGAAGGTCCAGCTAGGCAGCTAGAGAAGTTTCGGAAAGCACTTTGCGCTTGACTTGCGCTGCAGTCCTTAAGTCCTTTAATTAAAATGCACATCGAGCGAGCTGTGCGAAGCTTAAATTTTTGGACACGTTTTTACATTGGATGGACGTACAAATTTGTGCTGCTCCCTTTATTATTTTTTCTCCTTTTTTCGTTTTTTTTGCAGTTTTTGGGCAAATTTTCCACAGCTTTACCGAACGAAGCAAATGGAAAAAGTTTTTCAATTTGTTTGACGGTAAATGAACTTTTCTATGCTGCCAAGCCTTTGCCCCAGTGTGTGTGTGTATGCGTAAAGACGAAACTGGGCATTTGAAATATGGCATAAAAGAGGCATTCTGCTATCATAATAAAATTGTAATTAAAATTAAATATAAAATTGGGTAAACGGGTACTTTCAAAGGGCTGTGTGCAGCGGGCAATTGCCGAAGATACGGCCAAATACGGGAAATGCTTTCAAATGCTAACATAAAGTAAAAAAGTTTTGTGCTTATTTTTATTGACTCCAAATGCTCAAGTGACAAAATTATAGCACTCAAATTTATAGCATGCGATAAATTTTAACAAGCCCTCCCCCAAGCATGTCCAGCTAATTGTGAGAGCAAGAGAGAGAGAGAGATGCTACAGTGGGACGAGGCATCATAAAAGTTTTTACCAAGCCATTAAAATGAAATTTTGTCGTGTCTTTGCAAAAAAACACAAAAACAAAAATAAAAACAAAAACTGATCAAACATTTCAATCCCGTTGCTAGCATGCAGACGCTTATATAGGTGCGAGTGGGACAACAAATGTGTGTGTGTGGAAGGAAAGTTGAAAGCAAAGACATGGGGACAAGACAACACTTACAACTGATGTACGAGGGGCCGGCAGCGGCCGCAGCCGAAGCAGCAGCAGCAGCAGCAGCAGAAGCAGCGGCCGACAGCGGCAGCGACGTCGTCATTGTTGTTGTTATTGTTGTTGCCGTTGCTGTGTAGCAGCCGTTCAACGGCGTCGTCAGCGGCGTCAGCGTCGTCGGCGTCAGCGTCAGCGTCGTCTGTGGACAATGGCCATGACTCGCAGCTTGACCGTGACTGTGGGCGTGGCAGTTGGCCGCGCAGGTCGCTGGCGGCGCCCTGTGCAGATGCAGGCCAATGACATTCACGCCGTTCACATTGCCTAACATTGCCGCGCACACATACATACACAAGCACACACACACATACATTTGTAGTTACAGTTACGAGTTACAGTTATACAATGTTACGATTTACATTTACAGTTACAGTTAAAGTTACGAGTTGCAGTTACATGACAGCACGCACACATACACACACACACACAAATATATGTATGCATGTAATTTAGGAGGGGGTGGGAAGCCAACAAACAAACAAACGAATACACGGAAAACAACATCGAAAAGATTGCGAGGATATGCAAAATATTCAATATAGCTTATTAACACATACACGCACACACACAAATCATAAAGCAAACATACACACACTCATGGTTTGCCTGAGATGTGAATGTGTTTGAGTGTGTGTGTGTGTATTGTGTATTGTATTTTGTGTACGTGTTTTGAATTGGAAATGGATATTAAAAAATAATATTTACACTTAGCAAATAATAGAATTACCAAAGTGTTTTTTGTTCAGTTCAGTTTAAAGTCAAATTAAAGAAAAATAAACAAAATAATTATTTTAGATATACATTAAAAAATATCTTAAACATCTCACTTTTTCACATTTTCAGAGGAATTTGAAAAAATATTAATATTATTATAAAGCTAATGAGTCTTGCAATAAATATTTTTTTTGTATATAATATAATACTCAATACGTAAGAAAAGACAGACGAAATGTCTATAAAAAATAAAAATTTTAAAAACATTAAAAGAAATTGTAAAATAATTCAAATTAATAATAAAAATAAAAACAACATAAATAAAAGTGATAAAATGTAAAAATTGTATATTAAAGAATTTATAATATATAAATGAAGAATATGAAAAGTAAATGAATTAAAACAAATTAATACATTAATTAAACATTAAAAATTAAAAATTAATACATAGAATAATAGAAATTAAGTAAATAATAATAAATTCTTTTTAGCAAATAAATTAAAAATAACAAAGAAAAGTTTTCTTTTCGGTTAAAAATTATATTCTTAATAATACAATTTATAAATAAAATATTAATAAAATATAACAAAATAAATTAAGAAATATAAATGAAAAATAATATAATAATATAATAATAAAATAATATTTATAATGGCTTATAATCTAAATATAAAAAATCGATATAGAAAAATTTATATATAACAAAAATATTTAAAATATAAATTAATAACAGAAAAGAAAACACTTATATAAAAACAAAACAAATTAATAAATAAATATGTTAATAACATTAATTAATTTCTCCAATTCCTTATTCAACTTTATCTTATTAAGTGTATATAATAAAAATAAAAAAAAAAAACAAAAAAATAAATGGCATAAAGAAAACTGAGCTGAGATGAGAAATGCCTTTGACTTAACTTTAATGGGAGTCTGGCTAGAGGCCAACAAAGCACTCAGGATTAATAACTGCCGAGCTAAGCCACATACGCAGCTGCTTTTGAATAATAGTTGGAGCATAGTTTGCATACACTAAGCATAAAAGACGCCCCAGGGAGGCGCAGGCACAGGCCCCCAAGTGGGGGCGTTGCGGCAGCGGCTAAAGGCGATGCACTGAGCCACTGAAGGGTGTATAAATAATAAAAATAATTAAACAATAAATTGAATGAAATTTGTTTTGGTCGCTGGAGAGAGCTCAGCTGGCTGGCTGCCTAGCTGGCTGGCATGTGTGTGGTTGTCTGTATGTGTGTGTGTGCAAATTAAGTTGAGCCTGTTCTGTTGTCTGTTTGTGTTTTGGCTGTAGAGAGTTGTTGGCCTGTTGGCTTTTTGGCTATGCACACGAACGAAAAAGCGGAAATGCAACGCAACAACAACAACAAAAGAAGAAGAAAACAACAACAAATTATAAACAACTTTTAAGCAACAACAACTACAACAGCGGGGCACAGTGTGCGTGAGATGGGCTACACAATCGCGACAGAGCGAGAGGGAGCGCGATAGAGAGCGAGAAAGTTTGTCTGGCACTTACCAATTTTGGCGCTGCCAAATGCATCCTTAAACATGGGCGTGGGCGTTTGTAGAGTCATATGTGCGCCCACCACACCACCCACCGTTGGCGTTGTCTGCTTGATGGCATTCGTGCGGCCGCGATGCGGCGGCGGCGGCTCACGTTTGCGACGCGGCTGCTCCACAGGTAAAACACGGCGACGTTTCTTGGGCAGTTTCGAGCGGGCCTGTCAACGGTATTAAAAATGATTAACTACTGCAGCTATTCCTTATGCTCCCCAACTCACCTGCGTGTGCGAATAGAACATGGAAAAGTTGCTAACGATAACAGGTACGGGTAGTGCTATGGTCAATACGCCGGCCAGAGCGCACAGAGCGCCGACAAACATGCCCGGGTAGGTCTTGGGCGCCACATCGCCATAGCCCACTGTGGTCATCGTAACGATAGCCCACCATAAGCCCAGTGGTATGCTCTTGAATTGATTATCTGGATTGTCCTGCAACCAAAGAAATGGAATAAAAATGAGAAATCAAAGCAAAGAAATCGTGGATGGAAGTTGAAATACCCTGGCATCTGTGCTAGATGTGGTAATGAATATTTATTATAAACTCTGAAAGCTGATCAGAATAAGCAAGAAATTTATATTTGTAATGGGTGGAAGCTGGAATACCCTTGTGTTTTTTTATAAATTTGTATTCAACAAGAATGTTATTCAGCATAAACATTTTTATCTATGTTAAAAGCTCTATTAAAGTACTCTCTTAGTTGCGTGCTTTACTCTAGACTATTTGATTGACCATCAACATAATTTCAGAATAACACATTTACAGCTGAAGCTTTATAAAATTCTGTTGTATAACATTCTCTTAATTTTATTGATTTATTAACGTAATGTTAACCTTTCTGTTTATGCTGAACTGTTAATGTTAATGTCTCTTTTAACAGCACTGTTAACGCTTTCAACGGATTATATGTTATGAAATCTGTTCATTACTTTATTTAAAGATTATTTTTTGTAGGGTAGCTTCAAGTGAAGCAAAATAAACCAGCAAGCAATCAAAAACCAATCAATACCTTATAGCCTAGATTATCATTTTTCCAGCAATATTTTGAATATTTTTTTATGTTATTGTTGGCTTACTTTTGATGTTTGTTTCAATGTTTATCCTGTTGTCTACGATAGCGATTACTTAAAGCGCTATTGATGAGGGTTTCTACTGGTTGTGAGTATTAAATAGTCTAAGACTCCATTTATATAATATCAGAAAATAAAATGATTTCCATGAGGAATGTGGGACAAGCCCTCTAATAAATATTTATTAATTTTATATATATATATATAATTCTTCCGATAGATAATATTAAATTAGTTTTAACGCTCACATCAGCAGCAAAATGTTATTATTATATGAATATGACTGTTAACAGCCACGTCTATGTTATGAACTCTGTTAATGAACGAAAGTCCAAGGAACTCTTTTACCTTTAAAATTTAGCTAGGATATTCCAATCAATATAAATGTTTCACCCCTCTCTTACCGCTCTGTGCTGACCTCTAATAATCACTGAAAATCCAACTCTATTAGGGAAATCTTTTGCTTTCTTATGTTTTCTAGGGTATTTCAATAGTCAGTCTCGCAGTCAATCTGTTTAACAGTCTAGGGACACAGCAGCCGCACAGCACATGTTCAAACATAATTGCGTAGTATACATTTGGGAGGCAATGTAAAACAACAATAGAACACAACAAAGGAAAAAAACCTTGAAGTAGCTCAACAAGAAGATAAAAGTGAAGAACATTTCTTTATATTAAAAAAACATATAAAAAGTAAAAAGAAAATTTTTTTATTTATATAAATTCAGCTTGAGCTTGAGTAAATTTCTTGAGTTATTTACAGATGTAAAATAATTCATAATTTAATGACAAATCCTATCAAATATATCAGCAGCTGCACAGAATTTATACCTAAACCGTTGCCATAATGTAGCTATCGAAAATAGTATAACTCTTGTTTGGTCAACCTGTGATTATAGCTAATTCACCTTTACACACACTCACCTGCAATTTTTCGGCATAGTAGGCCAGGCTGGCAAAGAAGACAATGCCCAGAACGAGAAAGAACACAAGCAGCGTCAATTCCTTGGCCGATGCCTTGAACGTGTGTATAAGTATACGTAGTCCGGGCGAGTGACGAGTCAGCTTGAAGAGACGCATGATGCGCACTATGGAGAAGGCCTCCAACAGGCCCGTATATTCGCCCATGCGTTGCATAACATCCGTATAGAAGCTGAGAGTGGCCGTGAAATCAATTATGTTTACCGGAGACTTAATGAACTGCCACAGATTGGGCGAGACCTGGTCAAGAGGTTGAAGAAATACAACGATATATGTCATATGATATAAGTAGATATATTGTATTAGCTTACAATTAGCCTAATGACCACCTCGATGAAGAACCACACGTTGCAGACGAGCTCGACATAGAAGAAGGCCTTATGTGGCTGACCATAGGTCTCGATCCAGCCATGTTGACGACGTCCATTGTGACCGAGAAGCTTCTGTTCGAGAAACTCATTGAAGCTGTTCGTGACGTTGAGATCGCGTTTCAGACGCTGGCGCCCCTTCATGCTGGCTATGGGCGTGGCCTGGGCAGCGCTCAGATTGCCGCTGCTATAGCTCGTATAGTTCGTGACACGAAATGTGGGACCGATGCTGCCGCTAGGTGGCGTTATACTATGCTGATGATATTGATGTTGCTGTTGCTGCTGCTGCTGATGTAGCTGCGATTGCTGCTGAGGTATGGGTGACGCAAGCGGATCATGGCCAGCGGAGGCGCTGTAGCTGGTGGGCAGGTCCACGCGAAAACCGGGATGGGTTTTCAGGCAGAATGATATCACAGAAACAAATATAAAGAATACCGACATGCCAGCAACAAACTGAAAGGCAAAATCGAATTTTTAATCATGAATCAATTAATTAATTGTTAAAAATGTTACCTTAGCGCCCGTTGAGCTAGAGGGCTCATCGAACATGGCCCAAATCTTGGGCTTTAGACGTTGCCAACAGTTAAGCTCGCCGTTGCTTAAAGCCTCCTCGAAGCCAAATAGACGCGCTATTTGCTCCTCCGTGGGTTTCTCATTTTCAATATCTAGTTTATCTAATATAGCTAAGGTGTTCTGCAATGGCAATGGCGAAAGGCAATTTCTGAAAGTTCTAGGCTTTAGGCATGGCTACTCACTTGCGTATCGCGATGTATGCTATAAGTTGACCAGCAGCATGGTTCTACCTGATTCGAATCGAGTCCCCAGAACTCTAGTTCCTCCTCGAACAGAGGACCACACACGTCTGTGGGATAATGCAGCTTACCAGTTCTGAAATAGATTTATTTACAAATATTTAACATAGTGGTAAGTATAGTCATATGTATAAATAATCATTAAATAAATATGTATACATAATAAACTAATATTTAAAATATAATATAATATAAATAAATATAAAAATAAATTTATATATTTTGAAACACAATATAAAGTAAATAAATATAAACATATTTATAAATGTAAATAAATATTTTAAAATATATAAATATTTATTTATTATTTATTCATTTTAAAATATATAAATAATTATTTTGTATCATAAATAAATATTTTTAAAAATATATAAATATTTATTTTAAGCATAATTTAATATTTTTGGAGGAATGGCTTACTAATTATTAACTTCTAAGAAATAAATAAAACGTTGTTATATGTCTTAAAATATTTATTTATATTCATATATATGCGTGAATGAAAACAAATATATTTTTAATATATAACTTTAATTTATCTTTTATATAGGAATAAATTTTAATATATTGAAAAATATATATTTTTAAATAAACAAATATTTATTATACAAATATTTATTATTTTTCGTGAATTTTTTACTAATTATTATCTTTATTTTTTTCAAATTTGCACAACTAAAATTTATCCTTAAATCATCGATAAATGATTTACAATGATTATTTTTCTAATGACTGCACGCTGCACCCATTGAAAAGTTTATTTCCATTTAAAAAATAAATAAAAAAAATATAAAAATAATCTTAGAAACATATATCAACTGTAAATTAAGCAATAAAAACAACAAAAAATGTCTAATAAATCTATTTAAGACCTTCAAGAGCTAAACGCAAAGCGTGACAAAGTGATTCAGATTGTTAAGAGATATGCGCTTCCAATTCACAATGCCATATACCATGCATATGCATATCGGGCATATTCATTGCTAAGATACGCCTCACCCACACCGCCACCTGTGCCCATTGTTTTATTATGACCTGTGCAGGTGCAAAATGAACAGAGTGAACAAAAAAGAAAAGAAGCTGAAATGCGGCTTGTTTTTCATGTGGTGCAAATTGCTGCAAATGGTTGCACGTGCGTGAGGACAGGCTTGGGGTTTCCTTTTTTTTTCGAGCAACCAAGGACATGGGCCTGTCCGCAGCAACTGGCCAAATTGTAATACCATATCAGCTACTGGACAGCCGTTGTCTCTTTGTGGAAGGTCCGTGTGTGGCGAAAATAAAAGTAATCGCATCTCTTTTCTGGCTTCTATACATATATATTTCTCTTTTATATGTGTTTTTCAGCTTCTTTTGCTCTCTTTTTTCGGGCTGTCCTGGCTGATGGCCATATGCGGCATATGCATCCTTTTTGTGCATATTTTATGCAACTTTTCTTTGGCAGCTTTTGTTGCGCTGCTTTTTTGCGTGCCAGCTCCCAAATCATTTCGTGTCCCGCATGCTGAATGCCCCAACATGAAATAAAAACCCATAAAACGGAGCTCTCCGAAAGAAAGAGAGGGAGAAAAAAACAAAATTAAGCTAAAACCCCAGGCTATGAGCCCAAAAACGAATGCTCAAGGCCATTATGAATGCGGGTGGACATGTGAATTGCGGCTTTTATTATGCGCGATGCGCAGCATCCCACTGTCTCGCCCACTTCACATGCCTAGCCTGCCCCACGAGCCCCAACATGGCAATCCATTTGATCTGTCCAACTGCAGTGCACCTTATTTTTAATTAAATTGATAGCGCAATTAAGAAGGTATTTCTACAGCCTTGAAAAGGTATTTATATTGAAGGATTATTCAATCAGATCTGATATATAGATATAGATCTGATGATAAATTTAGAAAGAATATCAGAATATGAGTATTATAATAAGAAATAAAACTAAAGTTTAACTTTAAAGTTAGGTACGAGTCAAACTCATTCCATAAAAATGTGTGAGAATCGCATAGAAGTACAATATAATTATTTTACATATATTTTAATAAGACTTGAAATTCGCATAGAATAGCTAAAAAGTTAACCACATTAAAAATATTTGTAGGCATACAAAATATATATTTTCATTTTTAATTTTTAGTTAAAGCTTTTTTAAAGTAACATAAAAATACAAATGAAAATCGCATAGAGAGGCAAGAAATCCCTCAAGCTGTGAAGCAAAAAATAAATTTGATTTCTCACTGGATTCAATTCAAATTAAAAATAAAACTGAATTTCACAATTATGTGTCTGGCTATGAAGGTGTACATATTTGTAGAGTTATATACCAATCATAAAGCAATTGCAAATATATATTTATATTCAATATTCAGATCTAATCACAAATTTGTTTTTGTGTCCAAGCCCAATTTTTGGCTCATAAATATGGAATTCTTGTGAAATCAAGCAAAAATACGCAAATTGCTTTAGAAATTGCAAAATGCTTCTGGCGTATACATAATTCGATTGTGCAACCGCTGTGCAACACACAGATACAGATTTAGTAGATGTAGATATATATATAAATATATATATATATATATATAAATATATATAAGGTTAAATAAATGGCTATGTGGGGTAGCGTCTCAAAGCTTTGTTGCAGCTTGCTTTGATATTGCTCTTGCCCATTGCCAGTTAATTGAGTTGGAAAAACTGTTTGCCAGTGCCATTGGCTATAAGAGGGTTCCACTAATCAATAGTGCAGGTAGCTTTTAGATCTATATATATATATGTGGTATGCATGTGTAAAGCAACATCACGTGGAAAATTACACTGATTAGCATAATTTGTTAAAGTCTGTGTAGTAATTTAAATATGTTGTATTTATATTTAATATAATATTTTAATCTTAAACTATCTCAAAAACTGTGTCTGATTCTGATTTTTATCGTGATTTAACTAGTTTAATCTTCGGCAAACTATTTTTCTTTACATAATTATGAAATCCTGTTGGCCTGTGCCAGCGATTGCAAGTTGCTTTCAACAAGTTTTGTATGGACTAAAAGGGGGAAAAAATCGTGTCATTAATCTTGCAGTAACTTAAGTTATCGAAGAATGAAGAACTGCCCTCCCTCCCTCTCTCTGCACCCCTTGCCAACTAGCTACAATTTATCTTTGCCAACTAATGAGCGTTGGGCTTCTGTAGCGCAGGCGAAGCCGAACATTTTGATAAACTTTGCAGCCGAAAAAGTTGAGATTTATGACTGCTTGTATTTAGCTTGAGGTGCATAATTAAAATATAAGCTTGCTCCTCGTTTTTTCACTTCATTCTATTTTTGCTGGCTTTCAAGTCAAGGTGAATGCGCTGGCTTCGCCAAAGATTAATTACCCCGGTGAATATACTAATTAAATTGCACCCAAAGCAGCTATAGCGATGGAGATGTAATCATCTGTTCTTCAACAAAGTTGCTAAACTTAGCAAAACTTCGAGTTGCTTGCATGAAAAGTTAAAAAGGTTTTCATGTAATTCGTGTGATAATGAGTGCAACTAAATACATTATGAGTGCTTAAAGAGGCAACCTAAAAGCCTAAAATTTGAATATTTTTTCATGATAATTTTACATATTTTTTGGGAAAAATAAGACAACATAAGTTTACTAAACAAAATAGAAATAAAAAAAATCATTAAATGAAAATTGTAACTTAGCAAATCTAAAATATTTAACTAAAATCTTTAAAAATTTCGATTAAAATTAAGCATTAAATTTTAAGAATTTTAAGAATTTTCCAAGAATTTTTAATAGTATTATTTATTTATTTTATTTTTTAGCTTATTTTTAAATTTATTTATATATAAATTTTGTTCTGATTGTATGTTATATTTTTTAAATAAATATATAGTTAAACTTATATATATGACTTTAATTATCATCGTTTTATATAAAGCCTTCTACAATCATATTGCTTAGAGATTAGTTAAAATTAGTTAAAACCCACTCATCTGCCATTTAACTCACCTGTAATAATTGAGTATTTGAGTAAAGACACCCGGATGACGATCGAAGAAGTATTCATTGAGCACCGGATCGTAGTTGGCCAAGGCTTCGGTCAGACGTGAGAGACGCGTTGCAGGTATTTTCTTGAGCGTCGCCTTATAGGTTTCATATCTGCAATAAAAGAGCAAAGCGAGCCAATAAATTCAACTGGATTTGCATACAAATTAACTGCAGCACGCATACGCATACGCATACGCCCTGTTGCCCCAATATAACTTTACAAATTACCATTGCCATAACTCTATCCCCCTCTCTCTCACACCCTTTATCTGTGTGTTTTCGTGCAGTCTTGACCCTTTCGCATTGGCCATTAAATCAAGCCACAAAAAATTATACGTAACACGATTCGCTTCGCTCGGAATCTTACTACCAAAAAGTGAGTGATAAAAAATCCAAAGGAGGGCACTTCGCAGCACAAGGACAAGGCTAAGTGTAAGTAAATCCAGCCACAAGCCATTTGCATACATTTCGACTTTTGTGCTGACCTTTTCTTTTGCTCGCTTAGCCCGCATAGATGTTCCATTCTCTTTTTGCCACATTTATATATAATGCATAGAATCGTGCAATGCGCACGCATTAACCCTTTGGGTTAGCTTTGCTTTGGCACCCAAACGATGATTTTGCATTAATGTTTTCATGCTAAGTAAATAAAAGTTGTGCATGAGTCTTATATTAAATATGCTGTAAATTACGAAATAAATATAGATTATAAAAATGCTAATTTTATAATAAGTTTTATAAAACTTAACATTTTTTATACAATATTTAAACTTTTTTATATGACATAAAAAATTTAGATAAATTTTAAATTTTAAATTTTTCTATGACATAAAACAACTTAAAAATTAATTTTATGTGATAAATTTACAATATAAATATTAAGTAAATACTTATATAAAACCAAGCTTAACTAAATTAAATTATATTTAAAAAAATTTATAATAATAAAAAATAATTGAAGATAAATTTAGTTCTTTCCAGCCTTTCAAATTTATTTACAAATAAATTAAATTCAAAATGTGTTGAACTCTTCAAACCCTTTTTCAAAATACTCTACCCATCATTGCCACACACAACTGTACATATACATCTATACATCGATACATATGTATATATTTCTTTTATTCTGTCGATAAGCTTCCACCTGTGCTAACAAGCAATGCCACATTGTTGCTCAAGCGAATTGAATTTCCGACTTTCGCAAGATATAATTAAATTCAATTAACTTAATTTCCAACAATTTATTTTAAATTTAATTTCACATTTATAACACGAGCCACGGCCCCAGCATCTGCGTTGACATCCTGCATTTGGGAGAGCAATTCAGATGCGTTTCGTGCTTTATTGTCAAATTGTTTGTATGGGATAAATTAAATATTTCATGTGGACTGTTAAGAGCAGCCGGCAACGGCAACGGCATTGGCAATGGCAATATGGCAGCCTCAGCAAATGGCAACCGACGCACAACAATTGCCATTAACATTTATTAAGGCCGTTTGATTATGGTAATTGACCCTGGCAGCTACGGACGGCTATCGATAAGTGGACAGGACAAATAAAAAAACACACAACTTTCTTTCATTCATTCATTTTCGGGGAATTAGGTTTTCTGATTGGAATAGGTTTGACACTGCGGGTGCGTGATAATTGCTTTATAATTATACCCATGCCATTATATTCGGCACGCCCTAGCTAATATATACCCTTAGAAGAGTACGAAGAAGTATTCCCAAAGCTTAAAATATCTTCAATAATCAAATAAATTTCACGCAATTAATCGTCCAATTATGCTCACGAGTCATCATAACAACAAAGAAATAAGCAAAATAAATAAAAGACAAACCATTTATATTCAGTAATTCTCTTAAATGTACATATTCAATGTTATTTATTCTCTTCCATTTATTTTGGTTTTTGTTTAGCTCGAATTGCGAATCAGTAAAGAGCTCTATTTAGCGCTCCCCTCTTAAGAGAAACAGTCACTACATCTGTCTCGCTCGCACTGCCATTGCTTTTGACAGCTCACCCTCTTCCCAACATACTTTCAGTTTGCAAACAGCTTTATTATCCCAGTTGACAAATTATTTGAAAGCTTTATTGTTTTCGGCAATCTTAAAGAGCAAGCAATTCAATGACATGCATGTAAGTATACGAACACATACATGCACACATAGTTATCTAATGATTTAATTAGAGTGTTTTTTTCAGTTTATTTTGCTGAAATTCTCATCTAAGCGTTAAGAGCAAATTGCTGATCACCAGTTGTTAGAGGAATTGCTCGTATGCTCACACACGTGTGTGTTTGATAAGCTGAAGAGCGTGAGCAGAATGTCTAATGTGTGAGTGGCAAGCCGTCTCTTAGAACGCACAACGTAGTCTTCACGTTGAGTGTCGCAGCAACAGTTGCTCAGTTGCTAGTTGACTGCCGCCTAACTAGCACGCGTTCCTTCCGTTAGATCTGTGCAAAACGCATTTTTTTATTTCTTCTTTATACATTAAATTATTAAAAAAAATAATATATACATAATGTTGCGCATCTTGAGGACTAGTGGATTGCTGCGTGCGGAATGCAAAAATTTTGCTGCTGCTGCCGCTTACTCAGCTATGCCCCAGCCACAAACAACTCCAGATGTGCTCTACACTGGTGTAAGTAAATTCTATATATAAATATAAATAAATAAATATTAGACGCTCTATGTTATCAAGACAGCAAGATAATGCGTAAGTGTATATGAGTAAGTGTATACATACATACATGCATATGCCTATATGGTTATGTGATTTGAAACCTGATTATTTCTAAGTAAAATTGCAAGTTATTTCGTCTTCTCTTTTGCTTGACCTTGACAAAGCGCAGCTGCCCTTTTGCTTCCGCAACTCAGCAAGATACAAACAAAATCTGTGCAAGGCAATACCAAAGAGAGAGAAAAATGCATACGCACACTTTAAACATATTGAGTGAAATTCTATAAATAATGCAAATTCCCGGCTTACATGCAGAAAACAGGCGTTCGTATGTCGTATTAGATAAATATTGCTTGTCTGTATGTCTAAGCAGAGGAAAATAACCAGACAAGAAACGCGAACCACACATGCAAACCGGCGAATAGGCTGACGCAAAGAAATGGAAAACAAAATATATAGTTATTTACTGCCGGCTGATATTGTTGTTGCTTGCCGACGGTTTCGTTATATCACAGCCGTCGCTCTCTTTGTAGTTCACAGAGCCGCGCCTTCTCTCTTTAATTAAATTTTGTAGCATTTTAAGCGCATTTTAGAAGTTGGTTTGGCATTTTAAGCTTCTAGTGTTTGTATTTGCATTTTAATTGAAAGAGAGACTCTGCTTTATGTATATTTGAAAAGAGAAAACTATGACCTTCGAATGTTCACAACTACATCGCTGTTTTTATGTCAGACTTTTATTGTACATTAATTAACTTATGTCAATATGTTTTTGAATATACATATAAAAAGCTACTGATAAGAGTATTTCAATATGTGTATTGCGATTAAATATGAATATGTATATGTATAGCTATTTTACCTGTCAATTGAATCTGTCCAATACTGAGAGATTGATGTTATCTTTAAATGAACACATATACAAAGTATATTAAAATGTACAAAAATAGAGGAAAATAAAGATAAAAATATAAAATTTTATGTATGTATGTATATAAATAAATGATTTAAGAACATAAAAAATCATACATAAATTTAAATAAAAATATATATGTTTAAGACTACGTATATACACAGACAATTTTAATAAAATATATATTTTGCGTAAGTTCAGAATTGTATCAAACCACCCTCGCTTATTTCTAATATTTACATACATATATTTGCTTTATAAGCCCTTTCCTCAATCTCCATTTATATACAAATCTATAATATTTTCATATACGTTTATCTATCAAATAGAATTGAAATTACGTTTTTTAGCTACTTACAATATTTTCGGGTGTACCGTTAACTAGCTTATCTAGGGGACTGCCTAGTCATCTGCCACACACGTGTTGCTTTTTAGCATTTTTGTCTGGCGGAAAGTTTTTTTTTCGATATTTCACAATTTTACCTCGTCATCGTGAGATTGATTTTAAACCACTTGGGAGACATTTAAATATATTTGCATACATACATATATACATATATATATATACATATATATATATATATATATATATATATATATATATATATATATATATATATATATATATATATATATATATAAATATACAGTTGTCTGTCTGCCCAGCTGTGTCAACAGCATAGTTTTAGTCGTAGCAAACTAATTAGATAATAGCTCGATTACACCAGCAAAGTTAATTAATCTTATTGATTAACTTTGTTCGCGCCATAATAGAGAAGCTTTACTCAAATTGCTTATCAAATTGTGTGTACAATAGGTTTAGGTATATCAATCACAAAGTGTAAACAAATTGGAAGTGGATTTGTGAAGACTACACGACTAGAAAAGACTCTATAAACAGAATTTGTTCGATTTCATGAATAAGTTTAGAAGTTCATTAATGATGACATATGACATATGTAGAGACTAGTTCAATTAGTTCAGCAGTTCATGTACAATTCCTATAATGCCTAGTCAGGTATGAAAGCTCTGTATTCATCAGTTATACAGCTGATAAGCTCAATCGAACTGATCATTAATGAACAGTTAACTAGTTCCCTAGCACATAGGGCTCATAAATAGCTGAGTACTTCATAAGAACTGGTTGTTCATAAGTAATTGAGTAACTCCAAAGAACGACTGAACTTGACTGCACTCAGTTGCTAGTTCTTGAGAAAATGAACTATAATGTTCACTGACCACTGAACTAGTAGTTCATTTCAATTAAACATTCCCAAGACCTTTTGCTTTATGATCTGAAGCTAACTTCCTAACCTCATGCTCTTTCATCTCTAACGACTTAAGCAGCTTAATGCATTGAACACAGATTTAAATTGTTGCATAAATGAACGTTTCTAACTAGTTCAACTCATCTATTGCAGCTCTTCATCAACAATGAGTGGCACAAGAGCAAGTCGGGCAAGACCTTCACCACCATTAACCCAACCACCGAACAGGTGATTGCCGAAGTTCAAGG